CCCAATTTCAGCATTTTTCTAACATATAAATATCATATTGAGTATTATAATAATTATTTACATAATGAGTGAAAGTAACCACTAAATCATATAATGATGTTCTAATTAACATGGCAATATAATGATACTTTTTGCAATATTCATATTTTAAATAATGAAACTAAGAAATAAATGTAACATAAATAATATTTATCTTATTCTTTTTACATATACTTACATTTTTCACAAATATTTATTACAAAACACAACATTTTTATCCTTGAGATGTAATTATGTTGTAATTATTTCTTGTGATATTTGTGTACAAACTATATAATTTCAAGTCCTTATTCAATGTTATGAGTATATTCTTGACGAACATTTGTACAAATTTTACAGAATTGTACCCAACAAAAAAATTAAATATTCAATCACCTTAGTACTAAAATAACACAATCTGTAAGAGTTTCAAAATTGTATGAAATTATCATGAATTTTTTATCATGAACTTAATACGCAATATATTATATTTTCAAACAATTAAATATTTGGAAAGTAGAAAACAGTTTAAAGTAATTAGACTATTATATGTACATAATGTAAAAGTTATAAGTACATATTTTAAAGTAAAAGTAACAAATTTTTACAACTTACTTCGAATGAAATGAAACAAAAGATATGTTGGTCAAATTTTACATGTGGACTGTACAACAATATCAAAAAATGAATATTGTTCAATAAGTTCACTAGAATATAAATCACATTACTGCACAAGAAAAAGCTTTATATTGTAGCAGTATTTCCAACTATGTTTATATTTTTCAATTATAAAACTTCTGAGTTTCTTTTTACCTACTGCTCACATATTGTCATATAATTTTTTCGCTTTTAATGGCAAAACATAAATTAGGAATTACTTATTCTTACTAGAAATAAGCGATGATGCAAATTAAAATTTGACCTTTGAACAAACATTGTATAAACATATAACTTCGAACAATATATATAAATCCTATTTGTCCAAAGTTCAAATTTCAATTAAGCAATATAAAAACATAAACAAACCAGTATAGTGGTGATTGATAAACTAATAGTAAATGATAGCATTACTCAGTATCATAAAATTATACCAAATAGCGGAGAAATGGTCTGGATCAACGTGCATACAATTTGCATTCTATAATGTCATAGATGTATTATATATTTTTAATATCAATGTCTTTACGTTCAGTTTGCTTCTGAAGGTGCTGCTGGTAGAACATGAACTTGCTGTGCTTTACTAGCATTGTAAACTTGGCCAGGACTGAATGGTTCTAGTCTTGAACTAGAAGCTATTTCACTTTTACGAATCGTATCTTAAAAGAATTAACAAATGTTATCAATATGAACATATAAAAAATCTTAAACAGACAGTGTTAAAATTTAAACAATTGTGTAAAAACTAGCGATTAAATGAAGAGTAAAATGTTAATGTATCTTCAAATATTCTTTGATATTGAAGAACTTACCACTTTTTGATTCTGGTGCTGGAATGTATCGGGACAATCTAACAACAGGAAGAGGCAAATAACCACTGGTTAATGGCATCACGTCCAATGTGACGCTTTGTTTTTCTAAAATTTCCAAAGACACAATTCCAGCAGTACGACCACATACAGCCCACATGGCTTGATCAGCAAGAACCTCATACATTAATTGTGGTGAAGGATATGGATAAGGACTAGGTAACATTCGTGTTACTGTAAGATAAAGATGGCACATGCTACCAGCACGACAAAATTCACCTCCGTTTCCAGCAGCTTCAACTTTCGAGGACACTGTAAATAAAGTCTGGAAAATGATATTATAAATAGAAACTCACCTTTTTAAAACATTTTTAAAATAAATGTTATATTTTATATTTAATCACAATTAAATTACTAACAAAGCAGACTATTACATCGACTATTAAAATACATTTCACTAATTTATATACATTAAATAAAAAGCCATAGAAGTAATTTATGCTCTTACCACATAATCTGTAATATCAAAATTGCATCTATAAAGACTGGATGCTTCTTCCATTCTTTGCAAATTATAAATTTGCAGAGGATCATCATTGGTATGTAAGTAGTTTAGTTCTTCAGTATCATTAATAGGTATGTATTTTACACGAAAATCAGTCTTTATTGGCATCAAATACTTCTCATCTATACCAATTTCAAGTTCCCACATAAATGATACATTTATTCCATTACCTACTACTAATCTCTGACCCGCGATAGGATTTAAGCTTTTAAATTTAACGTCGATTGACGTTATTGTTGTTAATTCTGGTTCAATCAGTTGTAGGTGTTGATTTGTTAATCCTGTTACAATTATTTGAAGGAATTTCCTTTGTTTTGCTGTGTGAAGTTTCATGTTTGACATAAGAGGTGGACCAAAATGTAGAGGTATGCTTTCTTCTAAGCCCCATGGACATTGTATATTCAACTACAAAAGTGTTAATAACCATAAATATTTAAAAATTATGTTTATTTTTATTATGTATATTTTTTTAATTATTACAATATATATTATATGTGAAAAAGGTACCTTATGTTCCATTGATAAAGCATCTTTCTTTGGTGGTAGTTCAGCTAAAACTTTAAACTTTAACCGTATTGTTTGAAATGGTTCACAAAGTGGCAGTGGTATTTCTAGTTCTTTAGACATTGCTTCTTGAGAACTATCGACTTGTACTACCAATCCCCTAGACGTACGCAATTTAAGCTTCATATCTTCTGTTTTTTTTATACTCCCACTCATAATAATTAATTCTATATCTTGAACAAGGCCCGCCAATAAGTCTCTGCCGCATTTCAAGAAAATTGTAGGCTGGGTTTTAGCTACTTCATAACATAATCGAGGATTTAAAATAGGCGATAAAAATTCCAATTTTTCTTCAATAACTAACGATAATTGGCCAACTTTGTAAAAACCAGGCTGATCAACACTCCTGGATAATTTAAACGTATTCATACCTGGTTTCATTATAAATTCGTCACATGATAATGCTTTACTGAAATCACCTTTCGCATTTACAGATGGTTTTCTATGTTTTGTACTGTCAGAACGTCTCACGACAGGTTTAATGTTTCTGTGTACAACACTAGCAGATCCAAGACTTTTATCTTCTTTATAATCTAAATATGAATATACTTGTAATTGGAGTAAACTTGGATCAGACGGTTTCATATCTTCTAGAGTACATTTCGATAACAACGGGATTGATGGTTCAGGTGGTAATTTTGAACCCTTTTTCTTACTAGGTAATAAAGGTTTCTGAATTTCTTCAACAGATATAGACGCTTTAGTACATTTTACCTCTCTAGGAAATAAACTTTGTATACAAATTTCGATATTGACCACGCAATCTTGCACTACTTTATCCATCACTTTAACTTCCATACTAAATATCAGAAAAGCACATCCAAGTTCTATGAGTAATGGTTGTGGTGATGAGATCATCTTCATGTATCCAAACATTTCTTCAAAATAGGTATTACGAACAGTAATGTGCAATACATTTAAACTAGAAATAGCTGCACAAACTTTTGTATATTTTTCAACATCATCCATTCTTTTGTAACATTGTGCCAATTCCAACTGAGTTTGTGCTGCTAAGTGATTCCAACCTTCATCAGTGTAAGTTTTTAATGCATCAGATAAAAATGCAACAGCTTTTTGGTTCTCTCCAAGCTCACTATAAAATTGTGCTAATTCTTTTCCTATTAATCTAGCTGATCGAATTCGACCCACATGTTTGTAAGTACCCATAGCTAATTCCGCATGTTCAAGATATTGTTTTTTAAATGCTTCTTTTGATGAAAGTGCTTCTTTTAATTTATCAGTTGGTGTCAATTTTCCCTCTATTTGTGATTCAGAATCACCCATACCAGCTATAAGATAAACAACTGTATGTAACTGCTCACTAGAAGGTTCATTCCCAGGCATTAAACCACATAGTTTTCCTAAATTTCCCAACTAAAATAGATTATAATAAAGATCACATTATTAATCATATTACTTTTTCAATTTATATTGACTTCTATAATTTAAAAAGTATTCAATTAATACTTTCTGCAACTTACTTTGTCTCTAGCAAGAGCCCATAGACTGGCTGTATGTAAGGAGCAAAGGTCTAGTTGTTGATTATTATCAATGTTATAGGACGATAATTGACAAGCTTGCAATACCTCTAATGCACAAAGAAAAGACCAACATTCAATTGATCCTTCAGGTCGTTGAACTTCTAATATACGTAATTCACTTAATGTATTATGAACAAATGACAAGCACCTTTGTGCAACCTAAATTAACATAAAATTATGTATTTATATTCATAATAAAACAAAATAGCCAAGAATAAGTTCTTTTCTTATAAGTTGAAATAATCTTGATATATACAAACCTCCCATGGTTTGTTAAGTGCTAGTAACATGGCACACTGTCTACTGAATAAATAACTTCTAAGATCTAATAATGATGCTTTACATTCAGCCAAAAGATGTCTTAAATGATGATTTGTACCATTACTTAAATTAACACCTTCCCAATTATTTAATGGTGTTTGAAATAAATTTAACCATATAGGAGTCTCTACAAATTTGTTGAGAAGAGATTAATTTTTTATCTTTAAAGGATAAGGATACTTTAATATACGAAACTGACATACCTCCTACATTAGAATTAAGCACAAACTGTGTAAAGAGAGCATCTAATTCATCATACTGTACTAAAGCTTCATCATATAAACCTAACATTTGTAAAACAAATGCAAGCTCTTCCTGAAAAGTGAATTATAATTGAAAACTATATACTTTTAATATATAATTACATAAAAGTAGAACATATACAAAAATAATTACTAAAAACAAGACTTAACTTACCTGCAGTAAGAAATAATGACAAAAATTCCAACTAGGATGAATTCTATTTTCTCTTTGTTCTCTAATAATATCTTCAAAATTAGATAGTCTTTTGTCATATGCAACAAGCATTAAATGACGTATACGATTAATTAAACTTCTCCATGATTCAGCTGACCGCATCTCTGATTTTATTGGATTTATTACAGCACAGCATCTATTTAACATATTACTTATAATATATAATAGGGGAACAGTATATAAAAATAAATTTTAAAAACATTTATCAATTTAATTATTACTTCACCTATCACCATTCTTAGAAGCAAAATCACTGCGAATTTTGTCTAAAACTGTTGTTCTAGGTAATAACTTATTAGTCTTTTTTATATCGTAAGTTTCTACTATAACAATCATCCAATCTTGGATATGATATTGTGTTAGTGTCTTTAGCCAATTATCTATGTCTTCCCTGATGCTTGTTTTATAAGTGTCTACATCCTGTAATCCAAATAGTTATGATTAAACAAATATATACTCACATCACAATTAACTCTTATAAAATAAAGAGATGACGAAAGTATGAATCTACTTACAGAACATTCAGTCCAATAAATATGAAATATTGGTTGTTTTATCAGATGCCGATCTTTTTCATTTGGGAGAATGTCTTTACAAAATGGCACAAAAGTTGCCCCAAGTTTAACTTGCTTAATTGGTCTACTAAATGATCTACGCCATTCCACCATATCAGCAGGCATGGCTTGAAGCAAACTATTTTCCAATGCAGAAAATAACTTATCATCCCCTGCATCTATATTGAAAAAGGCAATAGAGTTTACTGAGATAATGTAAACAAAATTTATTCTTATCAAACAATATTTTATATATATGTACATTATTAAATATGTATCTAAAGAAATCCTAACTGTAAAAGAAATTATTATTACATTTTATAGACTGTGAAACATAGAATATCATATTAGCAATGATTCCAATTATGCTGAAAAGAAAAAAGAAATGTCATGAAGATTGACAGTTCATCGAGGGCGTAAATAACAATGCTTAACAATAGTGACATCACTAGAAAGAGGTTAAATAAATTAATATCTTGATTAATGAACTTACACGTGATAATTGGTTTAATATCCATAAAGGTATTTGATCTACGTTCACCACCCAAAGACGACCCCCCATTGCAATTCATTTCTAAAGATTGGCAGTTGCTTCGCGAACTTGCTTTCAATCATTACAACTTTACGTCACTTTTGTTACTTTGTACAAAAATTACTTTTTAGTTTATCTTAAAATAAAATATACAATACTTCAACGTTCTTTCTAAATTAAATAGAGAGCAATTGTTTTATTCGTCACAAATAGATAAGAATTCAACATAGTACAATAAATCTAACATTTTATTTCAGTCGTTCAGATAAGTTCCATTGAGGTTGGAATTGGAATCTTCGTTTAACATGTCGTGTAATATCGATACTCTCAAAAATTTCGATATCTCGTATTCTACTTAATGTATATACATTGTTTGTTTGTTGCAATTTTTGCAAAGTTTGTTGAAAATTAGTGCAGTTTTTACTTTAGTTAATGTATATAAGTTTGTAATTGGAAAGCATATAATAATTGTTTGAAAATTGTAGATAGAATATAATATAATTGACACGTACTAAAGTGTACAATATTAATTTGTATCAACAAAAAATATTTCAGTGACTGTCAGAATATTATTTGTTAACAGGTTAATAAATAATTTAACTCTATACTTTTAGTATTATCTTTACAACTTTATGATTTAAGTAGTACTTAACTCTAAATACATTTAATAAGTTGAACTTTCAATCATCTAGATTTGTTCTAAAATAATTTTTTAATTTGAAAAATTGACATATAGAATAGTGAAGCAGAGAAAAACAAATGTATCAGAAAAAAGTAATTAATAAAATACCAGGTAATCTGCCATCCCCTTCAAAAAGAGAAAAACAAGGTTACATTGAAGACTTAGCAAAGAAACAAAAATTTGAATTGGAAGAATTGTTAGAAAGACAAAATAAAATTCTTAGTAATAAGTAGGTAAGGTCTGAAGTCTAGGTTACATTATTAAATTAATTTTTCATAACATATATTCTTTTTTTTTTTTGTAGAACATTCATATTAAAACTTCCAGATAAAGGAGAAAAAATTAGAGCTTTTCGTGATAAGATATTAAAAGAACTGGAACATAAGAATGAAATTCAAGAAGCAGCTAATCTTTTATCAAGATTAAATTTAGCATCTGAAGGTAAAGCTGCTATGAATGAATTAGAATGGACAGGCAAATATAATGAATCAAGAAATGATATAAAAGTTGAACTTGATAGTGATGATGAAGAAGATCCTTTGAAAATATTGGCACAAGTTAGTTTTATATTTCTATAAACTATGTTATATTTTATATAATGTGCTTTAAAATTTATTCTTTACTGTCATTAGCCTACAGGATCTGGGATTCATAAAAAGAAAGTTGTACATTTACCACCAGAAGAAAGCTTAATTAAGGCAGAAGATTTAGCAGAAATAGAATCTTTTAAAATAGAACCTACTGAACATATTACATATATTCTCAACAAAATAGAAAAACCTTCAGAGGAGAAAACTGTAACAAAAAAACCATTTAAGCCATATAAAACAACTAAATCCAATGTACATGATCCAGAAAAAGAAAAACAAAGAAAACAGAATAAACATTGGGAAGTTACAGCAGCAACACCTCCACTTATAGTTCATGGTGCAACAAAAATTATAAATTTAAATGAATCCCTGAAGTTACAAAAGGAACAGGCTGAGATTCTTCAGGTGAATAGCTCTTGTAATTAGATGTAATACTTAAAGTATTTTTTATAAAAATTGCCGTTATTTCTCAGGAGGTTCGAACAAAACACGCAGCGGAAAGATTAGCTGAACAACTCGGTTTACACAACATTGGTCCCACACCCGAAAATGTAGGTAACTATCGTCTACAGGATGAAAAAGGATCAGATTCTTCTACTTCAGAAGATGAAGAAAACGAAGTACATGATGAGGAAGATAATGATAAAGGGGGAACTGTTGTTTTTACAGTAGACAGTATAGAAAGTTAACTTATTTTATTACCACGTACGTCTATGGATTTTATGTAAATATATTTATGAATAAATTAATCATTCTTAAAAAGACTATAGTATACTTTCTTATTATACATACAAGAACATGATTATGGTTGTAATTAATCGAAATATCAAGATCTTGCTATTAATTTAAAGTACATGTGATTTTGATAATTTGAAATGTAATAACTCGAACTAAAATGTTTATGGAACTTTATTATTTTTACAATGTTTATATTAATTGTATCCAAAATTATTAATAATTGCTGTGTATGGTGCTGCAGCTTTGGTAATCTTTTGTGCAGCTTGGGTGGTAAGTTTCTGAAATAAAAAGGAAGAAAATGTAAAATCATTCTTTGAACCAATTCTAACTCTGATATTTTTAGATATACCCTGAGTTTTTCTCTCTTTTGAATTTTAAGAGTTGATTTGACGCGTCTCTTGTTCTCCAATGTGCGTACCACAGCCTTGTATTTCCATCCAACTTCATGAGATAATCTACCTACATTACAGTACTAAAAGGACAAGTTACATTAATATCATATAACCTTTTAATACACATTATAAATGTTTCTACTATATTTACTCAGTTAAATATGACATCACAAAGAATAAAACATATACTCAGGCGCAAATTACCAATACATCATCGTAAAAAATTTAATAAGTAGCAGCAAATAATTACAATTATACTTTTCATTAATGATCTTACCTTCCTACCAGGTTTCAAACACATAACTCTCATAGCTCCTGGTACAACAACACGTTTCCTGCGATCATATGGTGGTGGACAACCTTCATAAACCTTCAACCTCCTAAGAGCATCCTTTCCCCTTTGTGTTTTGTGTGGGATCATTCCTAAAAATTAGACTATGTTTATAGTACTGTAACATTTATACTCCAAAGTCCTTAATGTTTCATAACAAGTAATCTCATATAAAAATTTGTTTCATTGAATTATCAAATAATGTAGGTAAGAATTTCATATAATCATTGATTAAGATAAATTATAAAATTCTGTTTTAAGTCACTGATGTCTAAACATACCACGAACTGTTTTCCAAAGTATTTTACTGGGAGCACGGAAATGGAAAGGTCCACGAGCTGGATTCACATTACATCTTTTGCGTAAAAATGACATATACTTCAACTTGTTCCTAAAATAAAAATATTGTATTAAACAAATTGAGTCTTTTAAAAGAATATGTCACATAAAAAAGAATCCTTATGTATCTATGTATAACATGATTATAAATATTAATGTATCTATTTTTGCTAACCTGAAGAAATTACCAGAGATATTAAGTTGTTCACTGCGAACAACAATTACTTTATTGCCTTGTAAAATCGTTTTAGCAATAACTGCTGCCAAACGACCAAGTAAATGGCCACAGCCATCAATTAATATTGGCTGAAAGTATATAATTATAATAAAATTCCGATTATACTAATGTACCTATGTATAATGTTACCAATAACAAATAACACGTGTCAATTGACACTTAAAAAGAAAATAATCAATTTATTTAAATATCATGTAATACATACTATTTTAATACGGAAAAGTAGTAAAGTATAGAATTTATACAATTTTATGAGAAAGAAGAACAAATATGATAACAAGAAAACACGTGTATACGACACAGAAAACGGTTCAACGAATTAATATATTTTTAAGTAATTCCTATTAAATAACTGTAAAAAATATTTATCAAATTCTTGTGCATAGAATGCAGATTAAAACAAGCATTCGTACAAAATAATTTATACTATACGATTTTAAAACATTAAAACTTAACATGCGTACCTTATTACTGAAGCCAGTCATTTTGCCACCCTACCGGAAAAGGATCCATGAACGTTGAGAAGTGTGCGACCTCTTACCGGAAGATATTGTGTTATAGCTCCAGTGTGTCCAACATTATATTTCTTCTTCTAAATACAAGCATGCAATATTCTTTGTTAAAATGTTTATATATCATTGCAATTA